TTCCCCAATGGTAAAATCTCACATAACTAGAGTACAGGATATTGACACTGACACAATCCTTTGATACTATTCAGATATCACTAGTTTCATGCATGTAATCGCCACCACAGTCATGACAAAAAGCAGTTTCACTGCTTTTTTCACTGCAAGTACAAGCCATTGGTACTTGAAACAACTTGGATGTATCTTCAGAAAATACACCCAAGTTGTTGCAAGTACCAATGGCTTGTTCTGAAGATACATCCAAGTTGTTCCAAGTACATCTGAAGATACATCCAAGTTGTTGCAAGTACATCTGAAGATACATCCAAGTTGTTGCAAGTACCAATGGCTTGTTCCTTTTTATTGCTGAGTAATATTCCATGGTATGGATGAACCAGTTTGTTTCCCAATTTACCCACTGAAGGACATTTGGGTTGTTTCTAGTTCTAGGCTATTACAAGTAAAGCTTCTGTGAACATTCACATACAGGTTGCTGTGTGAATATAAGTTTCATCTGTCTGGGATAAATGTCCAAGAATGCAATTGCTGGGTCATATGGTAATTGCACATTTAGTTTTATAGGAATTTGCCAAACGCTTTCCCAGAGTGGTTGTATCATTTTTAAGGTCCTATTAACAATGTATGAATGATCCAGTTTCTCCACATATTCTCCAGCATTTACTGTTGTCATTTTTTTTAAATTTTAGTCATTTCAATAGGTATGCAGTGATATCTCTTTGAAGCTTACATTTGCATTTCCCTAATAGCTAATGATGTCAAACATCTATTCATGTGTTTATTTGCCACCTGTACATATTCTTTTTTTCCACACACACACACACTCTGTATTTTATTTTTACAAGAGAAAAATAAACTAACACCAAGCATTGTAAATGGATGACCACAACAAAAGCAACAATGATTGCAATTACCAAACATGAAACACACTCATACTATGTCATAATATTGACATTCAGTCCAGTAATCCTCCACTGTAACAGGTCCTTTACTTTGCAGTGAAAATTGATTTGTATATTTTTTTGCCTCTGAGTCCTTGTGGGATTTTTTTTTTATTCAAACAAAAAATTAATGCACAGAAAACTCTTGCATTCTTATACACTAATGATGGAAAATCTGAACGAGAAATTAAAGAAACCCTCGCATTTATCATTGCAACAAAATGAATAAAATACTTAGGAATAAACGTACCTAGGCAGACAAAAGACCTCTATGCAGAAAACTATAAGACACTGATGAAAGAAATTAAAGATGATACCAACAGAAGAAGAGATATATCATGTTCTTGGATTGGAAGAATCAATATTGTGAAAATGACTATACTACCCAAAGCAATCTACAGATTCAATGCAATCCCTGTCAAATTACCAATGGCATTTTTTATGGAACTAGAACAAAAAATCTTAAAATTTGTATGGAGACACAAAAAACCCCGAATAGCCAAAGCAGTCTTGAGGGCAAAAAACCGAGCTGGAGGAATCAGACTCCCTGACTTCAGATTATACTACAAAGCTACAGTAATCAAGACAATATGGTACTGGCACAAAAACAGAAACATAGATCAATGGAACAAGATAGAAAGCTCAGAGTTAAACCCACACACCTACGGTCAACTAATCTATGACAAAGGAGGCAAGGATATACAATGGAAAAAAGACAGTCTCTTTAATAAATGGTGCTGGGAAAACTGGACAGCTACATGTAAAAGAATGAAATAAGAACACTCCCTAACACCATACACAAAAGTAAACTCAAAATGGATTAGAGACCTAAATGTAAGACCGGACACTATAAAACTCTTAGAGGAAAACATAGAAAGAACTCTCCTTGACATAAATCACAGCAAGATCTTTTTTGATCCACCTCCTAGAGTAATGGAAATAAAAACAAAAATAAATGGGACCTAATGAAACTTCAAAGCTTTTGCACAGCAAAGGAAACCATAAACAAGATGAAAAGACAACCCCCAGAATGGGAGAAAATATTTACAAATGAATCAACAAAGGATTAATCTCCAAAATATATAAAGAGCTCATGCAGCTCAGTATTAAAGAAAGAAACAACCCAATCCAAAAATGGGCAGAAGACCTAAATAGACACTTCTCCAAAGAAGATATACAGATGGCCAAGAAGCACATGAAAAGCTGCTCAACATCACTAATTATTAGAGAAATGCAAATCAAAACTACAATGAGGTATCACCTCACACCAGTTAGAATGGGCATCATCAGAAAATCTACAAACAACAAATGCTGGAGAGGGCGTGGAGAAAAGTGAACCCTCTTGCACTGCTGGTGGGAATGTAAATTGATACACTCACTACGGAGAACAGTATGGAGGTTCCTTAAAAAACTAATAATAGAATGACCATATGATCCAGCAATCCCACTACTGGGCATATACCCAGAGAAAACCATAATTCAAAAAGACGCATGCACCCCAATGTTCACTGCAGCACTATTTACAATAGCCAGGCCATGGAAGCAACCTAAATGCCCGTCAACAGACAAATGGATAAAGAAGTTGTGGTACATATATTCAACGGAATATTACTCAGCCATAAAAAGGAACGAAATTGGGTCATTTGTTGAGACATGGATGGATCTAGAGACTATCATACAGAGTAAGTCAGAAAGAGAAAAACAAATATCGTATATTAACACATGTATGTGGAACCTAGAAAAATGGTACAGATGAACCAGTCTGCAGGGCAGAAGCTGAGACACAGATGTAGAGAACAAACGTATGGACACCAAGGGGGGAAAGCTGCGGGGGGTGGGGATGGTGGTGTGATGAATTGGATGATTGGGATTGACATGTATACACTGATGTGTATAAAACTGATTACTAATAAGAACCTGCTGTATAAAAAAATAAAATTTAAAAAACACGAATGCTAAACTTACTTTGGGTTATTTGTATGGAAATGTGTTAATATAAATGTTTCAGACATTACATGAAATTCCTAAAATCGTATATGTTCTGGTATAATGTTATAGGTCATTAATTCTAGTTATTATTTTAAAATGTATATCTCAGAAATAACTAAATTTCCCCATCAATTGCATTCTTATGAACTTTCATCAAATCTTTAACCATGGTCATTTTTTAAGTCTTTTGTCATTTACAGACAGTTCTGGGTGTACTCTGATGCTTTCGCAAAAATGTTCCTATAAAAGGGTTTCATCTTCAAGGAATTCATGGAAAAGACTCTGACAAGTACAGGTTTCTGGTAACTGACTACACTGCTGAACTGAAGGAATAAGCATTTTCAGAACTCTAATGGAAAACTGATGAATTCATAAAAGTGCTAACAAAAGATCAAGATGAAAAAAAATTAATTACATGGGACTGAGTGAACTGATGAGGATGATTATAATTTTTGTGACTTTCTGTTTGAAGAAGAAAAAAAAGACTGTAAAACGTTGTTGTTTAAATTATATTGCTTTTGTAGATTTAAAGTGGGTTTATAATTGTATATTATATTTAGTATAAAAATAGAATGTATAAAAAAAAAAGACACATGCACCCCAATGTTCATTGCAGCACTATTTACAATAGCCAGGTCATGGAAGCAACCAAAATGCCCATCGACAGATGAATGGATAAAGAAGATGTGGTACATATATACAGTGGAATATTACTCAGCCATAAAAAGCAATGAAATTGGGTCATTTGTTGAGACGTGGATGGATCTAGAGACTGTCATACAGAGTGAGTAAGTCAGAAAGAGAAAAACAAATATCGTACATTAACGCATATATGTGGAATCCAGGAAAATGGTATAGATGATCTTATTTGCAAAGTAAAAGTAGAGACACAGATGTATAGAACAAGCATATGGACACCAATGGGGGAAAGTGGCGGGGGGTGGGGGTGGGGTGTGATATAAAAGAAAATGAAAACATAAATTAGCCTGTATTCACACAAGGGAACATCATACAGTAGGGAAAAGAATAAACCACAGCTACAAGTATTACCCTGATTGAATAATAACAACAAAGTTTAGCCTAAGAAGTAAGACACAGAAGAATATCTACAATCCTTTCTCATTCATATAAAATTCAAAAACTGTCGAAATTAAAACATTTTGGGCATAGGTGGTCAAGACTATGAAGAAAGGAAACAGAATAATCAACACGATTCAGAATGGTTACTTTAGGGCATGTAGGGGGCTTTGGGGGTATGGTAATGCTCTATTCTACTTAATGGTCTGAGTGTGCTCCTTCTCACCTGTTGGTTTTATTCTTTAAGCTGCATATATACTGTCCTCTCTGCCATACACTTAACTAAAACAACAACGAATCACGTTTAATATCTCCCTTACGCCCAAAGAATGAGAGTTCAAGGGTTTTTTTTTTAACACTTCCAATAAGTCAGGTTGAGCAGGCCCCGGGCTATTTCTCTGGCCTCTCTTTCTGTCAATCATACAGAAGTTAATGGATAAAACAAGACTGCAAAGCAAGAGAGCAATTAACGCAGTTGAATGAACAGGAATTGTGTTGGCTAATACTTCAGCAACCTGATAAACAGGAACAATAATAAACGTTCCAAAACTTCTTCACTGGCTGACAAACTAGCGCTAAAGACACGCCTGGTATCTCCTTCTATCACTATGTCTGTCTCAGTCCATTATCACTCTATCACTCGTTCACTCATATGCATAACGACCTCCTACTCCCACCTCATCCCACCCCTCACTCTGCCCACGATTTCCAGACACCGCCGCGAGTTTAAGGTCCCGAAGCGCCTTCCTTTTACAGAAGACGCATCCAGCAAGACCCCTACTTTGGGGGCTTCCAGCAAAAGCAATTAGTTAGGAACACGCGGCCGGCACCATACAGGCCAGTCGTTCCTGCGAGTCCGGCCAACAACCCCAACCTTCAGCAATTACAGGTACTTAACTTCAAGGCGGCGTTTACACGTTCCCAGCCAGCGAAATGAAAAAACCCCAACTCAAAACCCCCAAACCCCAGTCTCTGGTTTTCAAACAACCTCACCTCGGCTCTCCGGCTTCGGCTTCTGGCTACGAAATTCACTTTTCCTAGACGCTGTAGCTGGCCCCTCCTGCTTGGAGGACGCCATCTTCAAGCTGCTTCCGGCGCTACCGGAAGTGAACCTTTTCTTAAATCCTACCGGCTAAAATCCCCGTACTCAAAGTGAGTTCCGCAGAACTCAGACGAGATCTGCGCAGTCTCCGTGCGTGCTTAAACTGGAGCCCGCGTATTTGCATAAACTACTACGCTTCTCCCGCGGAGCCAATGGCGAGCCGGAGACTTCTCTTCCCGGACGCACTGCAACTACGGAGTTTCACAGCATGCTGGGAATTGTAGTTTAGCACTGTGGGGGGGGGGGTAGGTCGGAGACGGTTTTCTCTATCGTTTTCTCTTGGCCTCAGGGTCTAACGCGGAACGCATTTAGCCGGAGTGCAACCTGAATCGTACTGATATCACTCGTTCATTCATTCGATAAATATTTATATGATCGACCAATATGTGCTAGGCGTTGGGAAGTGGTACAGCTATGAGAATATACGGTCCATGATGGCAAGAAGCGACAGTAATAGCTACCATTTATTGTGAGACAACTTTGTGCCGGGCACTTTATTTGCATTATTTCTAATCCTTAAAACAAAAACAAAGTTAAAACCTCTCTAAGATTGATTTTTTTTTGGAAAGTAAGCTTTCAAAGTCATTGCTTCTGATGGTTACTTTCTAGGATCGTGGCATTTCTCTAAGCCAGAGGTGTAGTAACTAAGCGACCCTTCTGAAGTTTTTCACCTAGCCTAACATTTCCCCAAATGACTAACTCCTGTGTACCCCAACACTGCATATATAGCTGACGTCAAGATGTGAGGTTCATCTCTACTACAAATCTTTATACTTCTCGGAACCTAAAAGTTCTTACACACGATAAAGGTAAGACTTCTTTTGATGGATGGTCTTATTGTTGCCGTTTTAAAATTTTTCTGCGGCACAAATAGGGAAAGTGTTTGATAGGTTGAATTTCTTGCATTAGTGAAATGGGGAACGTTTATCTGAAAATCACCCTCTTGTATCTTCTATAAAAGATTTTCTTTTATAAGATGCATGAATAAAGTAATTACTTAGGGACAGAAAATCACAAGACACATAATTATGTAAAGGTTTTTGCTTTTATCCTGTGTGTCTTCTAAATGACAGGCAGTGATTTCATCCCTATATTCTTAGCAATTTGGTAAAATTTTAAAAAAAAATTTTTTTAAAGGATAAATCCCTAAAACCTAAAATAGAACAAATAACAGCAGGTGAAAGTTATAAAGTGAGAAGCAACAGCTTCAGTGTTCCCAGAAACCCTATGAGGCAGGTTTTTGGTATCTTTATTTTAAGGAACTCAGTCACTAGTAAGTGGAGAGCTAGACCTCAGGTCCAGGCAGTCTGACCTTTAATAGCTCCAGAAAGGCTACTATACCAAAAGGATTAGTTGTTGCAAATATGTTAGCAGGAGGGCTCGATTTTCTGTCTCATAGCTTTTGGACTTGAGTTGCACTATCGACTCCCCTGGGTCTCCAGCCTGCTGGCCCACCCTACCAAAAGCCCACATTTTGGACTGTCCGTGACTCCATAATCACCTAAGTAATTCCATATTCTGTGTCTCTGGAGAACCCTGACAAATATAGCAGTTTATAGTAGAGAAAATCCAAACGGCTGATGAACATGACACTCTACCTCACTGTCAGAAAAGCACAGAGACATAACAATAAAATATTACTTCTCACCCACTACATTGGTAAAAAACACACACACACACACACACATATATATATATATATATATATAATATTTTTAAATGATAATCTGCTGAAGGAAAGAGGACTCTCATATACTGTTGGTAGAAAGGTAAACTGTTACTGCCTTTTTGCAAAGCAACTATCAATATAAAGTATACAGGTAACGTTCCACAGTAATTCCACTCCTGGGAAACTGTCAACTAGAAATAAAGCACCATTCCATTAGGATGTATGTACAATGGTGTTGATTACTGCCTTGTATAGAACTAGTTCTGTGAAAGGTACTTTGGAGCCATACTGACTAGTTTGCCATCTACTAGCTATACAGCCTTGGGCAAGTTTCTTATCCACTCCTGTTCAGTTTCCTGCAATGGAGAGAATAACCTTAATTCAGTGACTTTATACACGTAAAGTGCTTACAAAAATATGCTTTGCGTGTGGTACCCACTCAGTAGGTGTTAGCTATTATTTCTTTACTGTGGCTAAAAAGTAAAATCATCTTGACTATCAGTTAGGGATATAGTTAAATAAATTGGTGTTGCCTTCATAACTGTGAGATATTATGCAGCCATTCATAAGAATTAATTAAATCTATATGGAGAGATTACCTAGAGGCATTGAGGGACAAAAGCCAGATACAGAAAGATGGGATAATAATATATATATAGAGAGAATAATTATAATAATTATATATACATGTATATAATTATCCCACTTTTATGAAGCAAACCATTCATTCATTTAACAAATATTTATTGAGCATCTATAATGCTGCAGACACTGTTTTAAATACTTGGTTCTGTTCTATGTTCTGGACATAATAATAATTATGTGTGTGTATGTGATTATACAATGAACAAAGATTTGGAAGGATACACATTAAGCTTTCAAGGCTACCTTAAGGATGAAGGCGATTAGAAAAGAAAAAGGAACTAGGCAAAAAGACTAAAAAAACTAGACGTCCATGATAAAACAGCAGGCATATGAATCTATTTATGTAAAACTGTCCCTATGCGTGTGTGCTCCTGTGTGCTCATAAGGAAGTCTAGGGAAAAACGGTCACCAAAATGTTGACTATGTTACCTCTCCATATAGAGGCATTTCAAAGGATGGCAATTTAAATAGCAGTACAATGTAAATCAGTCACAATTTACATCATTTTATTTTAACTTCCTTGGAAATCTGAATATAAATATGTACTCAGATCTGCAAGGTTATTTCCAGAAATTGCACAAACAACACTAAAAGGGGAAAGCAAAATCGCTGTCTCTAGAATTTCTTGGCACAGATCAGGCTAGGTAGGTGTCTCTGGCAGGCAGACCCATTTTGGTTTTGACTTCTCCCCTCCTTGGCCTGTTAAGCAACCTAGACCCACATGCAGCTATCTTCCTATAGATGACACCTTTCACCAGTTCTTACCCTGCTTATTCATTTTCCCATGAAAAGCAAATTGGCCTCACAACTCTTCTTTGGAATTAGAGACCTTAATTCCCACAAAATTAACCCAGAGGGTAATGGGCAGAGGAGTCAGGATGTGTGGCTTAATGCCAGGGATGTGCGGCTTAATGTCAGGCATGTGCATTCATTTCTTACTTTAAAAAGCAAAAAAAAGTAGGCAAATAAGTGTGATTTGTTTTCCATTTAACATTTCTATACTCACTTATCAGAGATAAAAATATTTTTTCACAGTAATCCATTGTGGGGTGTTTTGGTTTTTTTTTTTTTGCTAATTTTTAAAAAATAAGCAATCAAGAGAGGGTTTCTAAAATACAAAGCTTTGACACATTTTTATTTTCTAACACGGATAAGCTGCTTTCTATTCCAGTCAACCTCACAGACAGGTTTAAAATCTTCAATCAACATTTATGCATCAACGTGAATAACAGTAATTTAATAACTGTGGCTGTAAAATAAGGCCTCTTCTAACTCCAAGTGATTGCATATTAAAAAGGGACCTCATGATAACAGTTGAAAAGAAAAAACACAGTAAAGCAGCCCAGCTGTAAACTAATCATGTTATTACCCTATCTTTTAAAAAGTAATGTCAATAAAAGTGAAGTATTCTGCATGAAAACCTAGGAAACCTGGGAATCCAGGAGAGAGACCAAATTAGAGAAACATATTCATCCAGTCTTGGAATGTTTTCTGCTGTGCAGCAGAATGTTTCATGTGTCAGGGTGCTGGGAAATATCTGCAGGATTTCCACCTCTTCCTGCAAGGCCATGCTTAGCAAACTCTCTGCATAAGGAGTTGTGGTGTACTGCGGGGCTGCTAACCAGCTGTTGCATCTTGAGTAGGCACTCACTCAACCTGTTTCTTCCGTTGTGAAATGAAGGAGTTGAGTTAGATTACTGTTTCTCAAACCTTAGCCAACATCAGAATCACATGGAGGAGTGACCCCACTCCAAGTTTATAGTTCATCAGGTCCAAGAATTTGCAGCCGTGACAACAATTACACAACCCCCAAATGTCAATAAGGCTAAGGTTGAAACACTCGGGTCTACAGGTGTTCTTAATTTCTATGATTCTACCTCAAAGGGCCAGTTAGGGTTTTACGCTCCTAATCAGGCACACAATGAAAACCAATTTATATTCCACTCTTTTTACCTACCTAGGGCAGAGCTTGCCTGGTATCAAAAGCCAGAGTTTCCAGATGGCTGTTCATTATTATACTGGGATCCTCGATAGACAATCCTGCTCCATTTCCCTCAACTCTGCCCCTGTCCTTCTGGAATTCTGTTGTCTTATTACCCAAATGAACAATGGGACTTGTGCACACAGTAGATGCTTGGGGTCTAAACCACTCATTACTACTTGAGTATTAGTCTCTCCAGGCCCCAGCCCCACAAAACATCAATATTTCACTGGGAATCCAATCTAGCCTCTCCAACTGTTTCCAGGGCAATCTTCCTTCCTTCTCTTCCAGATTGTTCTTGTTGATAAGCAACAGCTTTTGATTTAATGTTCAGTTATAATATTCTTCTCCCTAAAGGAAAGCTGGAATACATTTCATGCTATGAGGTTCCACCATAGCAACAGAAGGCTTTTTAATGCATGCATGAATATTCAAGATCTAATCAGTGGCATGTGAATGTATTGATACTGCTGAGAATTATTATTCTATGCAGATAGAACAAGCAAACTACAATCTTTTATTTGTTTACATGACACTGGGGGGATATTTGAACTTTTCTAAGATGCAGTTTCTAGTCATTTGTTAAATCTATATGCCTCTTCCATCCTTCAGATAGTGGAAACCACAGATGGCCCACAATGAAATGAACTTTTAGATGAAGTATTTTAAACATTTAATGGGTTTTTATTTAAACAGATAATTTCATGGTGTTAATA